TGTGACACCAATAAATGTCAGTGTCCGTCAGCGCGCTCAAGATTTATGTCAGTAGGATTGTGATAGAAAATTACATGTCGACAAGTTTAAACGAGTCTCGAGTGTATGAAAAAAAAAAAATATGTATAATGAATTGATTACAAAATTATGAAATGTATTCTTATATTAGAGATATAATAGTATTAATTGAAAGATTCATTAGTAATTAATTAAATAAAGAAATATTTAATATCTTTCAGAATCAAAAAGAATTCAGATATCTAAATATTTAAAAATTTTAGGTTGTAAGATTGTAAAATTTTAGGGATCTTAAAATCTAAGCAAATTAGGAAGGCAAAAGTTAGTAAATTTTTAAATAAAAAAAAATAACTTTGAAATTTATAAAATCTAAAAAATCCATATTTCAAAACATGAAAATATCAGAAATTTATGAGACAGTTTTAAAAAAATTAAAAGTTCGAATTTTTTTTCCAATAGTTTATAATCCACATACACACAAAGCTACATTATTTTAATATTTTAAACATTCAGTTCTGCTAACAAACATCTGCCACAATTGGATTAACGGATTGTCTGACAATTTTTGATTGATTCCTTGCCGCATTTAAATTCTATACCGCTCGATAACCTGTTGACAGGCATATCTCGTAGATCAATAACTCATGATTCCTTAATCCGCGCGAAGACGAGTCAGCTCATTTCCTAGTCAAGAAGTTCGACTTCTCTTTTCATCTTTCTCTCTCTCTCTTTCTTTTACTCTTTTTCTCCTTCAAATAATTTAACGAAGCATTTATACGCGGGAGAGCGGTAGGTCATCGACGAGGAGCTATTCATCACTAATTTCATCTCGCCTTCCGGCCGGCTCCTTTCGTCGTGGGCGCGATTTGTTCCAAAGTGGCGTTTTCGGCCCCTCGTGGCGAGCGGGCTCTGAGAAGTTCGGCTCTTTAACGCGCTATAACTCAATCGGATGATGAGCTATGGGACACGCCCCGACCCCGCGCCTTTTCCCATAACTTCGGGACTTTTCCCGAGGAGGGGATCGAGGAACGGCGGCGACCAAACGATAATAAATTAAACCACCTGCGCAACCTTCTCCTCCTCATCTATCGATCCTTTCGGTTATTCATTATTGGTATTACTTAAATTTTAAATCACTTTTGCATGTGTGTATTGCACGATCATAGCTACATTGAAATGAAAAGGATGGACGAAACATTTTAAATTAAAAAGAATTTATTTGCGACTTATTCTTTACTACCTTACGATTTATTTTTAAAAATATTGTGCGTGAATATAGTTCAAATATATACAATAAATATATAAATATAGATGTTATCATATCAAAATGAAAAGAAATCAAATATAAAAAAATTCATTTTTTCCTCATCAATCAAAATTATATCAAAACAGTCAACTTTCTGTTAACTAAGTACGCGATCTAGAACCTGTCGCGTTCTTCTCCTGTAATCTCGTTCCCTAAATACACACGGACGTGTATAAAGTATCGCTTCCACGTAGTAACCTCTTGCGTTCCTTAACCTTCGCCCTTCCTTGCCCATCCGAAGGCGAAGGTTTCGCGAGGGGTCAGGGAGAGAGTTTACGTCGACGCTGGTCGTGATATATACTCGTCGGATGGGCATCGGCTCGAGAGGGGAAGGAGGAGGGGGAGAAGGCAAAAAGGGCGCAGTCCAGTCTCCCCCCCTCGTACGGGCGTAGGTTTGTTTTAACAAGGCATTTAAAGCGTACTCGGTAAACATTCGACGAGAAATATTGGTTGTTTATGGCACGGTGATTTATCACCTCGCGCTTGGACGAGCTTGGCGAATGGGATGAGAGTGAAAATAAGTTCAGGTATGGTTCTCTCATTTGGCGCGAGCGCGCGGCAGGAAGAGGAGCGAGAAGAGAGGGAGAGAGAGAGAGAGAGAGAGAGAGTGAGAGAGTGAGAGGGTGGGTGGCAGGGGGATGGAGTGGGCGAGGGACCCCGAGGGCGGATGTGTTCACGTTTTAGCGCCGCTTAGAAGGATGATGTGCATTTGGATGCGCGCATTTGTTTCGCGATGCGCGCGAATAAATTTCACCGAGGATCCTATAGTAATTGTCCGTTCCTTCCATCTTTCCTTATAGATATGTACAAAAAAAACATTTAAATTTTTACGCGAAATATCACAAATTGTGTTTGATAAATTGATAAAATTTTATTGAAGGAAAATTGAATATTTTTTTGTTCGAAATGCTGAAGCTACCAGCTCGAAAATTCGTCTATTCATTCTATTATGACTTCAAAAATTGGCGAGTATAAATTAATTTAAATAATATTTCCAAACAAAGTCAAAATATTCAACGATGAAAAATACAAGATAAATTTGCCTTTCGGATTCTCATAAAATGCTTTCACGATTTTATCCTTTTGCAATTAAACGTATATATAATATCATTGCAACGCAAACAAAGCATACATCGGTAAAGGACCTGCCAATTAAATTTCCGCTCCCTTCAAAAAGAAAAAAGTACCAACGTTCCTCTCACTGTGATCCTTTTCATTCCCAAGATCTCCCTCTGTCTCACGCCCATATTCTTCTCGTTAACTCTTGAAACCTTATTAAGAGGTTCGCATTGTAATGCCGGAGTAAAATATTACAAAACGATTCCGATTCTAGGAAGGGACACGAGGAAGCATTTGAGAGACGTCCGAAAAATTCGTCGAGCTATTAAGTGGAATCCTTCATCGCTACCGTTGAAGATGATAATCTCAGGTGGCTACCGTCCCATCCCGTTACCGATGACGGCCGCGGGATAGATCCGACTTCGTGGTCAGCCAAAGTTCGCTCTAGGAGGTCCTGCGGGCTCTTGACACTATTGAACCGCGCACGGACAATGGCGGGTCCCGCAGAGGAATGCGCGGCGTCGCGGGATCGTTAGGGGCAGGGATGTTTTCGAAATGAGGCAAACTCTTTTACCGCGACCATTCTTAATCTTCATTAGTTCATTTGAGATTTGCATACCGAGGCTCGGTCGTTTATCTGATCGGCGGAGGACGAGCTGAAGGCGAGGACGAGCTTTGTCGCCGAGTTATTCTATAAAGGCTCCCGAAAGATATTTGGATTCTACGATTCTTAAAAGACAAGAGGTCGAAAGAATCCGTAGTTTGAGAAACTCAAAGATCTAAAAACGCGTAAACTGCACTCAAAAAAATGTCTTGCTGATATAGGTAGATTTCTAGATGTCACAACAAAAATTTATCGCTATTTTTTGTATCTGTTAGAATATTGTCTGTTACATATAGAATTTATAGCAGCAATATTCTAATAATATCTTCTAGAAAATTTAGGTCCCATTGCCAAATGTTAATCACTGCATTGGATAAATATGAGTTTCGATACTACAGCTAGAACGATCTTTGTGAGAAATATAACTGCCAATTATAACTGCAGCATCGAAAAATTGAGAGAAATTGTTTAAAAGAGCTAGATAGATTGGGCGCATTATACAAATATGTTATATGTGAGGATTATATATTCATTTGTTTCTTGCCGCTAATCTTTTCTGTGTACCACAGTCAAACTTTATAACAAGTATGATTGGCCTTACATGGATAGGCGCCACAGAAAAACATTCTTTCTAATTTTCACAAACAGTTCAGATATAAATTCTGTCTCTGTGACTTAGATTGATTAAATGCGAAACATATGCGATATCACAGTATTTGCTAATCATTTATGTACCTCAGTTAATTTTGCGCACCCAGAAAATTTTTGCTGTAGTTGCAATACCACTTTTTTGAGTGTGCGTTTTCAAAATTTTCAATATTTTTTATTTGAGATTTTGAAAAATTCAAAGTCTTGAATATCAAAATTTTATGAAACCCAAAATTGCAAACGTTTTAGATTAAAACAATCAAAAATTCGATGATTTGCAAAAATCTATATTTTTTTCAATGATTTAAAGAAAAAACAGATAAACGAAAAAGTGCATAGTAATAAAGAGGCTTCATCGACAAAGATGAATAAATTCAAATATATTGAAGAATGAAGATAGTGCTACGCAAACGATCGTAAAATGATCTTTTCCCCCGATCCGTCGCGGGTCAACGTATCTCCTCGGTGAAAGTTCTGCATACAGTCCCCGGTTATTAGGCCCACCCAATCGGTACTTAATCGTGACCTAACCACCAGCGCGCAGCGCTGGAACGAAGGGAAGAGGGGGAGGGAGGGAGGGAGGGGGGGCAAGAAGGTCAAGCTTAGCCCTGAGACGCGGCCACGGCAAAGCTCACCTTATCGCACTCCTCCGAGCCCGGGTGGCCTACTCGGCCACTTAATTGCAGGCCCATATCACGATCCAATATGGCCGCCCACTGCGAGTATTAGACCCCGTAGCCGGACGTCAATGTCCGCTTTATGTAAGAAATACGGTATCATGCATCGCGCCCAGCATACAGACACAGCCAAGGACATCATCACCATGCATCAGTATAGCGGTTGCATTTACGTCGTGCAACGATATAAAGCTATCGATATTTTTTAACATTCTGAAGAAATTACGTTTCTCTATAAGATTCTGCGATTGAAGATTATAAGAACGACAAAATTTAACTTTCAAGAGATACATTTACATAAGAGAAAGAAAAAGAGAGAGAGATTGTATAAAATTCTAAAGACCTAATTAATTTTCTGTTGTAAAAAATAATACTTGAGAATCTACATTCCATAATTCAGATTAAATAAGAGCGCGAGATAAGCAAAGGGATCAAGGGCACGAAAAATTTTCTGTCCTTAGTCAAGAATGAGAGAAGTGGCTCTCTCTGAGCATAAAAATTTTCAAACATCGTCGTACGCGGGTCACGCGAGAATCCGCCGGCAACTGGTTTGCAGCAGATGAATATTTCGGGCAAATATAGGCAAGGTATCTTTTGTGAAAATAATCAATCACGGCGCCGATAAGGACCGTCGATGGCTGGATAGGCGCGGATTGGTTTCACGAGACACGACGTTCGGCGAGAGGAAATGGTTATTGCCGGGGATCGGGGGATGCCGTCCGAAATATGTGAGACTAATGGTTCGGCTACCTAAGCGAAAAAAGGACGAAAGGTGGACCGAGAATCGGCGTTACCCATCTGGAAAACTGACGGGTCACACGTACACGTGATCGACACCAGGATCGGTGGCGGGACATTTCTTTCTCTCTCTCTCTCTCTTTCTTTCTAGGATGAAGTGGATTGAGACACCGCGCGGCAAACTCTGATCGTTGATAGGCCGATGGTAAAATGAACATCGGTGCACCATGAGTTGACCGCGAGATACTGGTTTGCAGCAGATGAATATTTCGGGCAAATATAGGCAAGGTATCTTTTGTGAAAATAATCAATCACGGCGCCGATAAGGACCGTCGATGGCTGGATAGGCGCGGATTGGTTTCACGAGACACGACGTTCGGCGAGAGGAAATGGTTATTGCCGGGGATCGGGGGATGCCGTCCGAAATATGTGAGACTAATGGTTCGGCTACCTAAGCGAAAAAAGGACGAAAGGTGGACCGAGAATCGGCGTTACCCATCTGGAAAACTGACGGGTCACACGTACACGTGATCGACACCAGGATCGGTGGCGGGACATTTCTTTCTCTCTCTCTCTCTCTCTCTCTCTCTCTCTCTTTCTTTCTAGGACAAAGTGGATTGAGACACCGCGCGACAAACTCTGATCGTTGATAGGCCGATGGTAAAATGAACATCGGTGCACCATGAGTTGACCGCGAGATAAGCATCATTTTTCAACATGTTACACGATGAAGAGGCCGAATGATGAATGAACGCGTCAGGACCGTTGCGATTTTTCGCGGCGTGAACTTGAATGAGTGGACCGGCACGCTGATTGTATTGGTGGAATAGATCCATGAGAAGATAACGCAATCGATATGTACTGGAAACAAGGATATAGAAGTCTGGTCGAGTTAAACGATTCGAAAATATCAAGATTTAGTTAAATTTAGTTAAATATAAAATAATTATGGATTTTAACGATTTCAAGAATCTCAAATTAAATTTTAAAAAACCAGAGTTTTTTTTCCGTTGAGAAAATTTCAATACATAGCTTTTGTTTACAAGAAAAAATTGTACACTATTATTACTTTAGTATATTAAAATAAGATTGTAAAATTTCAAACATCTAAACATTCATTTTCTTGACTTGTGTAAAATAATATTTAAATGTAATAATATTTTTGAATAAAATAATATTTTTGAATTTATATTGCATTATTCAAGAATAGGATAAAGTAAAAGCGCGAGAGAAGCAATCAAGGGCTCAAAAAATTTTGTGTCTTCTAAAACTATTTAAGCAAAATAATTTTCTAAAGATAAAAATTTCCAAACTCTCCGCTTCGTTTTATTATTATAATCATTCATCAACTTTTGCCACTATTTTCACAAGTATCATCAAATATTTCTTTCTCGAACAGCAAAATTAATCTAAAATACCGGTCTTATATATTTTACTTTACCTTTTCTCTTAAGCTTCCTTTCAGTCATATACTTGCTGAGCAAATGGATCTTTACTAAAACTTCCATAGCGCAGCTAGATTTTATCCTTTTTCTATCATAAATGTTTCAGAATGATACAATAATATAAATAATATGTAATAAAAAAATATCAGAGGACTTATCTGTGACCATCTCTTCTCTAAATTTCGCTCCGTTTCTCTTTTCCTCAAACGAAGCTGTAGAGAATTGATAACACAAATGGCAATTGACAGCACAATGAGAATTGGATATCATTTCAGATAATTCACAGACAACCGGCACGACCATGGTCACAACCACTACCACCATCCTGAAGACGTTTACCCTCGCACGCGTCGCCGAAGAACGTCCGAAGCGAGAAGAAGAGAGATAGCGCGGAAAGGCCGGGCGGAGAAAGGCAGAGAGGATCGCAGGTGCAATTTCGCGCGAATGCAGCACGCATGTCGGATAGCCGTGAGGGGCGATCAAGGAGAACGCACCCTGGAGGACTGGACGACGAGAACAAACTAGCCTCCGAGCATCGATAGTGGCCGTGTTTCCGTTCGCTTCCTCTCCGCGGAACCCGAGGAGAGAAGTCGCCCGGTTATGGCTACGCCTGCTACGCCAGAAGAGGCGGTTAACGAGTCTAATTAGCGACGAAAACGAAAACGAGTTTGACCCTTTTTTCTCTCATACTCCATTCCTCCTCTTCGTCTATCGCTGTCCATCTCTCTCTCTCTCTCTTTCTCTCGTTCGCTCGATCCCCTCCGTGCGTACGTCCTTGTCCGCCGACTCCGTCTCATCTCTTTCTTCGTCCGCGTACGTCTATTTCCCCTACTTCAGCGATTAAATATCTTAGGATTTAATAATTAAAAAATCTGCGGAAACGCGTAAAAAAAATACAGAGATTCAATGATCAAAGAAGCTGACTAACAATAAGAAGTATTGAATCGAATCGCGCAAAAATTAAAAATCTTTAAAATATTTCCAGATTTAAAAAGCTAAAATATTAATGATGTCTGTCTTCAGAAATCGAGGAGTTTAAAGATTGAAATGTGCAAAGGCTTAACAATTTAAAATTTTGAAAATGATGGGAAATTCAGAGTCTCGAAATGAAATTCTAGAACTTGCTTATCCAAGAAAAATGCAAGAATATTCAGAAATCAACTCGTATTTTCAAAGAGAGAGAGAGAGAGAGAGAGAGAGAGAGAGAGAGTTAAGAATACATGAATCTCTTCAGGTATCGTCTCCCGTATCTTTTTCTCGTCGTCCCTCCTCGATGGGAAATTCAGAGTCTCGAAATGAAATTCTAGAACTTGCTTATCCAAGAAAAAAACAAGAATATTCAGAAATCAACTCGTATTTTGAAAGAGAGAGAGAGAGAGAGAGAGAGAGAGAGAGAGAGAGAGAGAGTTAAGAATACATGAATCTCTTCAGGTATCGTCTCCCGTATCTTTTTCTCGTCACACGGTCGTCCCTCCTCGCCTTGACAGAAGGACGGATCTCCGACCGACTCGAATCCTACGGCATCTTTTTCGCTCGCGACAGAAGTGGGGAGAAAATGAGGTCAGTGGGACGCAACGAAGTAGGTCGGTTGACGAGGCTTTAATTTGCGTCTCGGCAGAGTCTCCCGAAACGCGTAGCTGAGAAGGAAGTTCAACAGAAAGAGAGAGAGAGAGAGAGAGGGGGGCGTGGGGGAGAGAGGATAGAAAGAAGAAGAATAAGGGAAAAGAGATAGAACGAACAGGGGTTCGAAGGGGGAGAGCAGGACGCTATCATCGTCGACATACGAGAGCAAGAGTAAGAACGCGCGGAAGGAGATGAGAATGGCCATTAATTAAGACGAGGATAACGACCCCGGGATTCGTTAGTATGCCCGTGGGCGGTTTCCTAAGACATTCCGTTCGCTGGGTACACTTGAGAGACCGAACTGCTTTCCGTATATTTCGCCCCTTCCTCCTCTTCACTCTTCCATCGTGCCGAGGGAGATTTTTAATTCGACGACAGACTTACTTTTTATATTATCTATGTTTATATTTCTATGTCTATGATTGAATTAAATTTCTCGATTCATTTGCATCATTCTCTCTTTCGTCTTTTCTTTTTTTTTTTGCGTTCGATGCGATCGGTCACGCGGTTCACGCGGTCTGGACCTGCTAATTCTTTATGATCCTAATCGGGGCCTAACCCCGTGGCATTTTTTAGGCTACCGTATGGCTTGATTGAGCCCCGATGAAAAGCATTCGATTTATACGGGGGATATCTTGATCGGCGACCGGGAAAAGAATGTACCTTCATTAAGGCGGCCCGGACGTACACGGTTTCGCTCTCGGCTCCGGACCAATAATCACATTTTTTCGTAGAAACTTAGGAGCCGCCTGAATCGTCGCCGGGAATCGTCTGAAAAAATTTGTTTAATCGCAGCGCTACCGCAGAAAGAATATACAAGCCTCACAAAATTTGCCACGAAAGTTGATTCGTTCCATCATAATTGAATCTAAGATATATTTTCTGAATATAAAATATAACGGAATAAGTGTAATAAGAGAAAATTGTTAGATAATTGTAGTTTATAAATTATAGTTTAACAATTTTCCGTCTTTAGAATTGTACTACAATCGCGTTACTGTTTTGCGAATCGAGAATGATCGAAAACGATATTTCATCACGGCCTTGAATAATCATGAGCTTGCAGATAAAGTAGGTCATCGGGTTTATGAAATGACAGACAGCCCGACAGACGGGTGCACGGATAAGATAAGAGAAGCAAGATTTAAAAAATCGTGTTCTATAAAAGCGCAATTTTTGACGTACTTTAGATCATGATTAATGCGTGACGTGGATAAATTTTGTTGCATTTTGCATTTAACTGCTGCGTCGATGTTGTATTGGAAATGTCAAATACGATAGGTCATTGTGTACATCATTCTAATAACGATTCTGCGGTTATGATCGTATCGCAAGTTTCGTTGTAAAAATTGTACAGCAGCAGTAACAATATAACAAATAATAATAGAATAATCTAAGTAAAAGATCTGCGTTTAGAGAGAAAAAAAAAAAAAAAACAATCGTGAATATATATTCGAGTCGCGTCGGGAGAGGGGTCACGTGATAGATCATCGCGATCGCGATTTATCTCAAGAGAGAGAAGAACGGCCGAGAGAGGCGAGTGTGAAGGAGATGCAAATATTCGCGCGCGACGAATATTACCACGGACGTGCGAGAGAACATTGTCGGCTTGCAGGCTGTCGTCGGCCGAGGAGAATTCGCTCCGTTAGTTTCGAGAGTGCCCGTTGTGTCTGGCTAACAAGTCGACCCTCGTGGCCCCTCGAGGGTGGTCGGCCCCCGGGAGGTCCCCCGATCACGCGCCCGGTATCGGCTACTCGGACACGCCCGCGGTCCGTCATCCCATCATCTACGTTCGAGCGGCGTTCGTGCACGACACCGGGAGAGCCAAGCCGAGCCAAGCCGAGCCAAGCAAGGAGAGGCCGTGCGAGGGTACATCACCGAAAGAGCGCGGAGGGACCCCAGCCGCGGGTACCCACCGCGGGAGATAGGATAATGTTCCGCTATTTATACGATGCGCGGTCCACTTTCAGGGCTGCCTCCTTCCAGCCACCCATGAAGAGTAGTGAACGCCGAGGAGAGACCGCGCCGTTCGATGTGATGGCTCGATTGACATTATGTCATTATGATCGCGCAACGACTCGATTAAATCGACGGTTACATTCAGGTGCATGGTAAAAAATTTTCTAAAAATTCAGACACATTTTTGTCTGAATTTCCAGACAAAATTTTCAGGATATTTAAAAGAAATTTCAAATAATCTGTCTTAATCAAAATTTTTTTGTTTTTCTGAAAGTTTATAAGAGTTTGTCTAAAAATTAAAGTGTGTCTGAAAATTCAGACAGTATTCTGTCTAAAAATTCAGACACTGCAAACTGCAAGAAAGCTATAGACACTTTGTCTGGAGTTTCAGTCAATTTTTTTTTACAGCGCAAC